AGGGGGGGGGGGGGGGGGGGGAAGGCAGGGTTTGCAAAAACTAGAGAGGAGTTAAAGACATATTAGCACCAAAGGAAGATTTTTCTACTTGGTATCATCAGAAGGATTGAAAGAAAAAGGAAAAACGGCACACCCTTCACATGGTTTGATTCAGCGCTATGAAATAATCTGCCTATTATTACTTAAAATCTTCTCACGTATAGTATGCTCTGTTATGCTGGAAATACTGCAGGAGATCAGTGGTTTTGAGTTGCATTCTACAAAGTCCTAGGGCTGGTATGGAGCCTAGGATAAGCCAAGAAGATAGGGCTTGGCTCGCTCGACCCACCGCCCTGCCTCCATCCTCATTCTCTTTCGGCTCTCCTTCTACTGTGTAATGTTGTGGGCTTATGCATAAGACTTCATTTAAAGTCCCTTCCAGATACCATAGCCTATAATTATTAAAAGAAAAAAAAATCACTACAATTTGCAGTGTGTTTAGGTTGGATGGATTAATTTCTTTGCCAGAGCTATAATAGGAAGACTGATTTTGTCATTTCAATTACAAGCCACCGTTTAGTGCGAGCCCGGAAGACACTTTCCTAGAGTTTCCCTCCACTTGCCTGGCACTGGAGCAATTAACAGTGGGTGATTTGTGGCTGCACTTTTATTGCTTAGCACAGGTTTATCATCTTGAAAGTTTTCCATTTGCATATATACTATACATTCTTTGGATGACATTTCGATATCACCCAGAGCTTAGATTAAGCCTTGCCTTGTACTGCACTTTCTACTACGTGCTGGGAATCTGCAAGTCCAGCCAGAATGCTGATGTAGACTAAGGGGAATAGGGTGGCAGCCACCACTTACTGCAGGCTTACTGTAGGCCAACCCTTACTACTGAGGGCTTTACCTGTGTTACCTTATTTATTCCTCACACCAATATCCCTGGGGTTTCTATTGTTTGCTCTATTTTATAAATAAGTAAACTGAAACTCAGAGTGGAAAAGTAATTTGCCCAAAGTCACCCAGCTCAAAGTAGCAGAGTTGGGATTCAAACTCAAGTCCGTCTTATATCAAAACACTCTTCTACACAGTCTCCCGTATTGGGAGCTTTCAGAGTAAAATGAATTAAATTGGACAGTTTTCCACTTTTAAATACCAAACTTCCTGAGCATCTAATTGCTGCTCTTTGGACTAAGAAGAAATTACTATTTAAAAGAAGTAAGGGGCAGGAGGTCAAGAGCAAAGGGGGGTTTAATATCTCTATTGAAAGGGAAGAAATGTAATCCTGGGGGAAAAAGTAGCATCAAATGGAGACTGTTATATAAATTTGATGAAATTGCAAAGAAATACAGAAAAGATAAGGGAGTAATGAATACGTAGCCCTAAAGATTTTTTAAAAGGGAAAGAAAAGATCAGAAGGCACTAAAGGAGTTTGAAGTTGGCCCAGTTGAAGGCAAGGTCTATCCATCTTGACAGATGGAGGGAGGCTGATGAAGCCCTGAAATAGCAACCAGAGATCTGTCATTGTGTTCCAGTCTGCCTGGATGAGTTTGGGCAAGAAGCAGACTCTGGAGCCAGACTGCTGGATTTGAATCCTTTTCCTTGACTTCCTAGCTGTGTGACCCTGGACAAGTTCCTTAACCTCTCTGGGCTTCAGTTTCCTCATCTGAACTACAGAGATTATAATAACGTTCATGTTGATGTGAGACAAGGTAAAGTGCTTAGCAGGGTGCCAGGCATTTAGTAAGCACTCAAAAATGTTACCTGCTGTTGTGGTTATAACCATGCACATCACATTCACCTAATATAAGACATAGGCGATTATAAATCAGCAAAAAGTCTTGTAGAAGAAAAGGAGAAGAAAGTCAGGAGAGAGGTTCACCTTCAGCCAATAATTACAGAGATATCCCAAGGTCGCTTGGCCATGACCGCCCTCACAGGTATGTGTGGATAAAACTCTGTGCCCAGAGACTATGCTGGTCAAATGATCTGAGGATATAGGTGAATATGCATAGAACCCTTGCCTAGCACAGCAAAAGCTCAAAAGCATCAGCAAGTCCTACAGAAAGTTCAGGGACCTGAATTTAAAGTGGGCAGAACCCTATAAATGTTACAACCTGACACCATGGATTTCCACTCAAGGTTGATAATGCAGTTTCTACTGCATAAGCACCCCTGTGGTTACAGTTTGCATTACAAAACCGCAGTTCCTGTGCTCCAGAAACACTGCCTCCTGTTTGTCCCTCCAGCCTAGGGGTGGTAGTGGCTTCCTGCTGTTGCTGATCTCTAGGTTACCTTGCTTGATGCCCTGGCCTCTCCATCACCCACGTAACCAGTTCCCTGCCTTAAATCCCCTCCTTATTCCAAGTTAGATCCTGACTGTTAGGCAGATGGAGAAACCAAGGGTTAGTGAAGTTATATAACTTAACCAGTGTAGTACAACTGATTCTTGTCAGAGCCAGTGTTCTAAATGAAAAGTTCCTGATTCCAAAGCCTAACTAAGCTCATAATCACTAACTTATATTTGAGATGACTAGTAGAATGCCTAATGCCACCTGGTGACGGTGATGAAAATATGACAATAGTACTGATGGTGATGACGATGATGGCACTGTTGGTGGTGGAGGTGGTGGTGGTGATGGTGTCGGAGATTACCATGTCTGACCACTATTGTCTGTGTCTTTGGGAAGATTGTGCTGATACAGGGTCCTGGTTGTCAAGGCACTGTTGGTGGTGGAGGTGGTGGTGGTGATGGTGTCGGAGATTACCATGTCTGACCACTGTTGTCTGTGTCTTTGGGAAGATTGTGCTGATACAGGGTCCTGGTTGTCACACAGATATCTCTGACTGTGTTACAGGCCTTCACCTACCACCACATCCAAGAGATCATGGTCCAGCTGCTTCGCACGGTGAACCGGACGGTCATCACCATGGGCCGGGATCACCTTCTGATTGTAAGTAGAGCCCTTCCTCTTGTCAAATGTCTCAAAATCTTCAGTGTCTGGAAATAGGTTTTCTGGAGGATCTGATCTTGCTGAACACCCAGCGCCGATTGTTGCTTTGTTTTGGAATACAAGGATCATATTTTTCCTGTCTGAGTTGGGAGAACAAGAGGGTTAACTCAAGTTGCTGAAATAAAACAAGCCTTAAGACACATCTGGTAAATTGAGTGTACAGCAGGGCTGGAATATCACTGGTAACGACAGAGATTATGTAAGTGGACAAGGCAAAATGTTCCAGATGCATTGCCTGTCCACGGGGAACCTTTGCTTCTGGCCTAGAGTCAAGCAGTACCCAGTCTCAGGGTCCTGTGAGTTTCGTTTTCTAAGTGGCTTCATTGAGTGTTAACTCTACCCATAGATGCCAGTTAATTCAAGGCCACTGCTAAGTTTGGGGTTATTCTTCTGCACAAACACTATATTCTCAAGATCAGGAGACTCCTGCCCCACAGTCTAATTATTTTCCCTCTCCAGACACAGAACTCATCTCTGACCTTTTAACCTCTACCCATCTAGCTTTAAAGCACCAAATACTCAAAGCTTACGGGGGCCAGTCACCAACAGAAATGAGTATGTCCAACCATGTCACTCCGCTTCTCAAACCTGCCAGCTATTTCTCATCTAACTCAGAGTAAAATGCAAACTATTTCCAAGCCTAAAATGCCCTCTCCTCCTTGCTCGTTCGTGTAGGTGCGCCTGCACAGGTGAAACATGATTACCTTTGCTGTTCCTTCTATCTCATTCTCATTTTAATCACACCTTAACTCAGGTTATCACTTAATCAGAGAGGCTCCCCTCCCTGACCACCCTGCCTACAATACCATCCTCTTTCAATCTCTACACCCTATTCCTTTATTTCTCTTAATACTTACAACCTGAAATATGTGTCACTTTATTTTATGGTCCAGCTCTCCTCGTGAGAATATGAGCTCCAAGAAAGTAAACACTTGGTCTGTTTTGTTCATTGCTGTGTCTCCTGGTCCTACAATAGCACCTGGCATGTAGTAGGTACTTAGTAAATACTCTTCGAATGAGTGAGTGAATAAATGAATAGATGCTGTGTACCAAGCAGGAACTCCAGGGTACTTAGTAAATACTCTTCGAATGAGTGAGTGAATAAATGAATAGATGCTGTGTACCAAGAAGAAGAACTCCAATGTTTAAAGAGGACGGGTGCTGCTCAACTCTGACTGATTGATGCTGTGCAGGATTGGGCCATATAGTTGCTGGAATTCCCAATTTGTCCAGAGAAGCTAAAAATTTCTATACTTTGTGTGAAATTTCTTGATATTTAAGTGTTGGCAACTAATTAATAAAAAGTTTATAAATACTATATGATCCCCAAATAGCCGGATTCACTTTTCAGAAAGCCAGGCTGAGATCTCTGCTTTAAATTGGTGCGGTGCGAGCCAGGTTTGGGGATGTTGAATGACAATATACTGTAATCCGGCTTCATGGATACAGAACATAAGGACACAGAAGAAACTAAGTACTGTTCTGTCAGTAGCTGGGGAAGTAGTTCTATCAGTAGTTCTCCAGAAGTAGCCCAGTGTAGCAATCTTCTTTTACCCATTCAGTTCTGTCTACGCATGTCTACGCATGCTTTCCTGATGTATATTATATACGTTTAAAGACGCGGTAAAAAGAAAGCACCAGCAGTTCCAGGCACTCCTGGGCCAGAGCCGTGTAAACTGGTCTTGTTGTTTATCTCATTTACCATCCTTCTGTGAAGTGTCACCATTTCTTATTCAGTTATAAGCTTCCATATCCGTGGTTCCCGTACACAACTTAGATAAGCATTTTATGACCTCCCTCATCTTTATTTCTTTTCTTTGGAGCAAACCTGAAGATGATCATCAGTCTATTTGGCTCATTCTGGATATATCAGGCTCTTAACTCTCTTTTCTTTAGAGCAGTGATTTTTAATAACACTGTTCGGGTCATAGAAAATGCCAAATAAGTAGTGTCTATTATTTTCTTTTCTATCTGGTACAATAAGTCTCTCTGTCCCTTCACATTATCGACATAAGCAAGTGATCATAGTCTGGCCCGCATTCACTACCACTAGTTCTGTGAACATTTTATTTGATGCTCTGCCCTTGATGTCCTGCCCTTCCAACACACACTCCTTGCTGCTGCCTTGTTCATCTTTGCCAGGACACTCCCCCACTCTGGAATGTTCAGTGGCTCCCCACTGCTTACCAAGTTCAGTCACAAATGCATTAGCCTGACTGTCCTCAGCTTCTGTGATCTGGTTTGGCCACAGTAAAATTTTTCAGCCTTTTCATCTACTTTTCTCCATCCAAGTATCCAGCCAAAATGGATGCCTGGATATTGCCCAAATATGCCTGGCACTTTCTCACTTTCATGCTTAGCCTACACTTCTTCCTTTGCCTGGAATTTTTTTTGTGCCTCCTCAACCCGTTACCTTCCTCCCTCATCTTCAAGGTCCAGCACAAATGCATGCCCTTTTGACTCTGCCTGGCTGGGACCTCTCCCTCTTCTAAATCACCCAGTTCTCTCTGCCATTTTTTTTTTTAAGTTTTATTGAGGTATAGTTTACATACTTTACTATTTAACCATTGTGCAACCATCACCATAATTTAGTCTAGAACAATTCCTTCACTCCCCAAAGTTCCACTTTCAGAAACCCTTCATCCCACCTCCCCACCCCTGAGCAACCACTCATGTACTTTTCCTCTCTACAGATTTGCCTTTTCTGGAAATTTCATACAAGTGAAATTATACTATTTGAGGTCTTTTGTGTCTGGCTTCTTTCCTTAGCATAATGTTTTTGAGGTTCACCGACATTTTAGGATGTATTGGTACTCCATTCCTTTTTATTGCTGAATAATATTACATCATAGGAATATGCCACATTTTGTTTATCTGTGCAGTACTTGATGGATATTTGGATTGTTTCCAACTTTTGGCTATTATGAATAATGCTGCTATGAATGTTCACATACATGAGTTGTATGAACCTATTTTAATTTCTCTTAGGTAGAAATCTAGGAGTGAAATTTCTGGGGCAAATGGGAAATGTATATTTAACTTTTTAAATAAACTGCTAAACTGTTTTCCATAGTGGCTGTGCAACTTTACATTCCTACCAGCAATGTATGAGGGTTTGAGGGTTTTGTTTATTGACATCCTCAGCAATACTTACTATTGTTAGTCCTTTGGATTATAACAATTCTTGTGGATTTATAACAATTCCAGTGGTATCTTATTGTGGTTTTAATTTGCATTTTCCTGACGACTAGTGATGTTGAGCACCTTTTCCTGTGCTCTGCCTCTTTTTTTGAGCCATTTTTATCTGTGAACTTGTCCTAGCTCCTGTCTTATGCCATAAAGCTTTTGAAAGCTTGTACCTGTTTATAAAATGGGGTGATAGTAGGCCTTTTTAATAGAGTTGTTGTGCGAATTAAATGACAATACAGGAGAAGCATTGCACACGTACTTCTCATTCAGCGTTTTAAAAGAACCTCCTATATACTCAGCACAAAAACTCAGAAATGAGTTATGTGTGGTCTCTGCCCTCCAGAAAATCAGCCCTCTTCCGATAGGATGTCTCAGGTATCTCAAACTCACCGTGCCCAAAATTCAACCCATCCCCAGCTCCCTGCAGCCCACTCACTCTCCCTGCATTCAGGATCTCAGTTAATGGAACCGCAGTCCTAAACCAGACCTGTTCGTGACCCCTCCCTCTCATCACCTGCCTGCCACTTCTAATCACTCAGCAAGTGCTGCTGTTCTCAGCACATCTGGCCTTGCTCCCTCTCCTCTTGGAACTGGACAGACACTCTCCCCCTGACCTCCATTCCCTTGCCATTTGCTCTTAGAGCCCCTGTGAGTGGCTGGGTCATTGTGCTCATTGTACTTTGTACATTGTAAGGTGATTTTCTGCTTTTGTGCTCCCCTCCTTCCACATTCTGTGGGCTCCCTGAGGGCAGGGACCATTACTTACTCTTTTATCCTCAACATCCAACAGGGTGCCTGGCATCCAGTGGGTACTCAGTAAACGTTTGTGGAGAAAGGAAAGAACTAATGAATGAATGAATGAATAAAACTCTCCCTGAAAATGCTGTGTCATTTTATACCTTATGTTTTTGTGTATGCTTTCAACCATTACTTACTCTTTTATCCTCAACATCCAACAGGGTGCCTGGCATCCAGTGGGTACTCAATAAACGTTTGTGGAGCAAAGGAAAGAACTAATGAATGAATGAATGAATAAAACTCTCCCTGAAAATGCTGTGTCATTTTATACCTTATGTTTTTGTGTATGCTTTCACCTTGGATTGTTTTCCCTTCTTCACAGAATGTGTTTTCTAAATATTGAGAGCCCACCTTTCAGGGAGTGAGGGAGCGATGTAAGGAATTGCTTGCTCAGACTTTGCCTGCCCCCTGGGCTGATTCCAGAAGCCTTGCAGAGGTTCTACCTTGCAACTGTGTCATTAGTCTCAATGAATGTGGAGTTTGCTGGTGTAATTACAGCCATGAGAGTGCTGAGGGGGAGCACTAGCAGCGTGCAGCAGCACACCTCACCAGAAGCAGGGCTGTGCCTGAAACAGGAGGAAGAAACAAACAGGCTTTCTTTAAGATATGGCCTCATCTTCATAAAGTGGGCCTTTCCAGCAATTCCTAGAATAGAAATATCTCCTACAAATTAAAGAAAATGATGTTGGAAAGTAATTACTCAGGGGTCAGGGGGCCCTGTCTTAGTGCTGAAGGCCCCAATTTAATTTTGAATTGAAATTTGACAAGGAGGAGAGATTCCCCATTCCACCCATCACTTTTAATTTTTCAGATGTGATTTTTATTGGTTAGTTTTTATTGCTTGGGAATATTAAGCAATCAATATTTATGGGAAACACCAGACACGTCTAGTACTCTGGAAATCCTGAGAAGGCCCTGATTAGGTGTGGGGTAGATATTAAAATCACATGAACCATGGGGCTAGGATGGATCATTTCTTGGGCTCAGCACATTGTAATTATCATCTGCTGGTAAGGACCATTTCTCTGTACATTGCCTCCCTGAGCAATGAATTGTTGATGGTGACAAAGGAGCAAAAGAATATTTTACAAAAACCAAAAGCAAAAAACTTTTACATGACTGGTGCCCTTTCTTCCTCTTTTTGCCGGAGTCTAACCCATCAGATAACTGTTCATTTTCTTAAATTCCCAAGGAATTTGACTTTGATGCTGAGAAAGACCACATAGTTTGGTAGAAAGGACATTTTGGATAAGGGAGAACAAGTAGGAAGATTCCACACACATTCTGCAGAGAATTGGTTCTGTGACTTGATACCAATTTAACATCTCTAGACCTTGGTTTCTTCTGTGCAATAAAGTATATCATTTTTGAAATCTTTTTATATAAGTTTACTGATTTGTCCAATTCCCATTCTTATTCTCTATCTCCTAAGCTCCTGAGTAAGGGACCTAAAATAGATTTTGCTTCATGTGCCAACTCTGGTTGATTGGTAATGGCTCCCTGTAATGCTGTGTTGGGAAGGATTTAGAGGCTTCATCTTGGCTCAGTGGGAAGAAATGCTGAATTGATTAGTGATGTCTGTCATAGTATGAGATTGGGGAACAGTGATATATGCAAGATACTTGCAAATTTTATGCATTGACTGAAACCACTGGCATTTTTCTGGCCCAGTCTCACAGCTCTTGTATTCTCTTCCCCATATTCTT